CCCCAAAACCCCAAAACCCCAAAACCCCAAAACCCCAAAACCCCAACTAGTGAGAGAGACATTGAGATTATTTAATTTTGTAGATCTTTAAAACGTCTATGGCGCTGTAAGAATTTAATTAAACTCATCTGAGGAGCTACTTCATTGTACTTGTTCATGGTATCTTTGATATACTCGTCATTAGCTCGATGTCCAATGCTTTTGTATTGCGCCTTAAAGTTTGAATTTAATGTATGCGAAATATCAATAACTATACCAATCAGTGAAAGACTTACTGTTTCAGGTTTGTGTTGGCTTTGGTTCATTCTCACCCCTGAATATTCTCAGATTTGTATTTTTAGCTTTGATTTTCTTTAAAAATGTTCGTTTCCCAGGCCTATCCATTTTATTTCGCATAGCAGAAGCTGATACTGCTGGAAGGGTACGCTCATTGGAGGCTGAAAATTTTGGCTGTCTTTTGTTATTAGCAAAGGATTCAATTCCAGCATTTTTCTTAACACTCATTATTTTAGGTTGACTAACAGCTTCTATTTTGTTATCATCAACTCTGACTTTCTCTTCTTCCTCTCCGAGAATCTCTATTATTTTTGCTGATTGGTGAGCCTTTTTATAATGTAGATAATGGTTGGTTACATATGCAAAGAACTTCCCAAATTCGATCAGATTATCTTCACCAATCCGAATCACTCTTGTATCAATGAGATAATTATTATACCTGATCGAGGAGGATGGCGGTACTCAATCAGGATTAGCCGTCTTCATCGTCTCAGGGCATGCCCTAAAATAAGAAGATTCCAGTGTATAAGAATTTTTAACTCCGATTTCTTTGAAGACGACTACTCTTCCTGTATTTTCCTTGCTATTTCTCATTCACAAATTTTCAGCCATCTTTGCTAAAGATTCTAGCTTCATATTCAATATTGTTATGGGAAGTTCATTGGCTTATCATTCATGCATCTCAATTAAGATTGGCTTTCCTGGGTCTTGCTAATTTCTCCTGTGCTTTTGAGAGAAGATCACTGGCTAAAAGATATGGCATTTCTTTAATCTCAGAACTTTCTGCAGGATTTGAACCTTTACAGCCATACATGAATATACTATCAGCAATTGAATGGCCATGAATATCCACGAACAAGATCACATTCTCAATCTTTTCATCAAGATCATCTGGGACTGTAGTCTTGCTAATCTTTTTGGAGTGCAAGGATTGCTTCATTTTTGTTGAAATTTTAATCGAATTTTTCTTGATTTTAAATTTAGCATTTGGCGTCTTGCTGTTATCTATGAAGAATTAGATTTGTATCTTACCATGGTTCGGGATATGGAGAACTTTCTGCTCTTGTTTTACATTTTGTGTAGACCGGTTTAGGTCATCCTTACTCCTGAAGAAATCTCCATTGTGAAGTCTATTTGAGTAATTCCTTAGTATAGAAAATTGTAGGGTGGAAATACCGGCTCGGAATATGCCAGATTCTATTCAAGTCTGCTCCAGTCATGTTTCATCGATATCTCCCATAATAAACTCCGTCAGGGTTCAAAATTGGAATTATGTAGTATACAAATTTAGTTTTTAATTCATTTCAAGATAGCAATTGTTTAAGTATTCCTTCAAGCATAAACGAGGAATTACTCTCTCCTGGGTGAACTCTTCATGTAAGAAATATTATCTTGGAATTCTTATCAGCCAGCAAAGAATTTCATATTTTCAAGCAATATCACGGTATATTGGAAACTGTTCTACACAGTTCGAAGATCTGCATCTGATTTTGGTTTCTATAAAAATAAAACCTCGGTCAAGTTTTGAGTGCTTACTTTACATATTTCTTTAACTTATGGAGGAGTCACTTTAGCCTTGTAAATGTATAAGGCTGAAAATGTGCGAAGTATACAATATCATCTTCATACTCATAGGTATAGACAAACCTGAGGGTATATTGTTCTGGCTTATCGAAGTTCTAAATTAAGTCCTGTGAAAGTATACCTGGGTGTATCGTATTAGCTCCCCTCCTCGATGCCATCCTATGCCAGTCTCTTTATGTTTATTTTAACGAAAATACAAATGGTTGCATTCCTTTTGTATAAGCCGATTTCTTTTTATACAGATTTTTAATTGCAAAGGTTATCCTCAAATCTTTAGCAAAGTTATTTGGTCGAATAATAGAACCATTGAGTGTGCTTGGTCAATTTAAATTTCGTAAATTCTCCCTTTTTGTTTGGCTTGTTTCCGAAACTTGAATCTGGGGTTAAGAATAAGTCATATCTTGCCTCCAACTTTACTTTTGATTGGGAAGTTGCGGCTCTGTATTTGCTGGCACCCACTATTTTAGAAGTGTGGTTCTTCGACATTCCACTTTTACGAATTGAGAGCTCAGGAACTTTGTAGATTTCCTTAATTTTGTATGCTCTTTCCAAGTTTCCACTTTCAAATCGACTATTAAAAAGTAACAAAGTTTGAGAGTCAATATCTTCTTGAGTGATATCTAATGATCCTTTCAGAGGTACTGAGAATCTTGGTCATCACTGTCTGTTAACCATAGGAGAATTGTATCTTGGAATACAGGTGTTTATCAGATTTCGCCAGGGTTTCCCATCAGAAAAGATTCGATCTGTCTTATTATCCTGAGAGCTAATATCATATGGAAACACATTATTGCTAGTTAATTCAACAGTTCAGGCTTTGTTAAAGATTTCTTTACTGTAAATCTCACTGAGTAAAAGTTTGTCTAAGTCATGCTGATAGAATTTATTTTCATTGTCTTGCAATTCCTTCTGGGCAACTGATAAACCTATCTTTACTGTATATTCATTTGTAGTTTAAACAGTCTTTTGAACTGGGAAATTCAGAATCTCCACTTTTACAGCTCTCGTCATCTCCGAAATGTTTGATACTGTAATCTTCCTGGATATTAAGAGCATGCCTCAGGTGGTTATCTTCTCCGTCTGAATACACTGAGTTTTTATTGTTATGTTTTGTCTCTAGATTGATCTCAGGAATGCTGTTGGCAGAACTATACTCTATAATCCATACGTTACTCCAAAATATGAGCTGAGTAGTTAATAGAGAGCCTCTGCTTTTCATTTGACTTTAGTTTGACCTCCTTGACTTGCCTCTGAATATTTCTCAGAAGGATAGATTCATTACTTTCCTTCTTAACTGGAGCTTTTATCTTTCGTAGTATCTCATTTCGGAACGGAGAGATTGACTATAGGTTTTGTTTCATAGATATTCATACCGAATCGCTCATGTAATCATCAAAGTTAGTATAAGGCTTATTTTCTCCTCTCAGCAGTATCTGATGAGAATCATTTACTGTATGGTGATGCGTCTAAATCATGCCTTCTCCTTAGCCCAGTGTTATTTCTATCTATTTTCATTATAATTTTGGTTTGGAAATATGAATTATCAAATACTTAAGTCGTAATCGACACTGATCTATATACACAGATTTTGTAGAGTTATTAAAACACTTTGTTCTAGCACTGAAAGGTAATCTCTTATAACAAAGCTTCTGTCTGTACTATTAGGCAATGTGTGTTAGAATTAGCCTAAATGAGTTGAATATTTTTATGTAAAGGTAAGAATTTTTTAATTCCGTTTCCAAATCAGTTTAAGTAATTCCTTCCTCGTTACTTTCCCTATGAGATGTATCCAATGTCGGCTGAATAGAATTCTAATAATCTTTTTTGAATATTTCATGGGAAAGTTCCTTAAAGAGCTATAGAGAATAGAAATTGCTCAATAATCTGTACAAGATTGTTAAGAGGGATATTATTTAGTAGATAACAAAGGTGTAGTATCCATAGGACACATGAGAACTAACCTGCCATAATTTCCATAGCTTTTAAGTTATCCATTTGCTGCATAATAATTTATTTATAATTTTCAATCGCAGTCTTTTCTCCTGGGGTTTTGGGGTTTTGGGGTTTTGGGGTTTTGGGG